TATGCATCAATATACAATACTTTATGCATAACAAAAATATATCGATATTCGTATCAAATTAACTATTTAAAATTCTTCATTTTTTAATTCAATTTTTTATTATAATTTAATTTAGGTACAATAACGAATTAATTTATATTTGGTTTAATAATATAACTTTTTTATAAAGATAATAATTAATTATACTGTTAAAACTCGATAATTATCCTAATTATATTTTAGATTTTTTATATTTTAAAATGAGATGTTTATCTCTAATTGATTATATTTATCTGCGGTTAGTTACACAAATTCAAACATGAAGCTTTAATATAAGTTGTACTTATGCATAATTTACTTTTAATTTTGAATTTTAAGTAATATGCATCAATAAACAGTACTTCATGCATAAAAAATGGTTTTTAAGAGTTTTTACCAAATGATTTATAATATAGTATAGATATATAGAGAGAGAGAGAAAGAGTGAGAGAGAGGTGTGTTATTATACAACCCTTTATATTTGTACAACCAATACAACTCATTCTCAATCGTCCATTTAATTTGATGAATATGTGATTTCATAAAAGTTTTGATTATTTCATAATATAAAATATTGATCATAATTAATGAACTCTAGTCATCTTCATAAATATTCAAATCATAATAAATAAACTCATCATTTCTATAAATATCTCAATTAATTGAGATGCAAATGTACATGGTTTCATTTGAAATATACCTTACTCTATATAGAGAGAGAGAGAGAGAGAGAAAATGTGTGCAATACGTGAGATAATTAATGGTATTAATGGGTCAATGGTATATTAATGATTATTAATGGTGTATTAATAAGGGTATTAATGTGATACTAATCCTTATTTTAATATAGCTTCGAGGGAAATTAAGTAAAAAAAAATTAAGAGAAGTACAAAAATTTCATTTTATTAATTTTTCAGAAAACTTGATATCAAAATCAACATTTTAGGATCTATACTTTCTACCGATGATTTGAATTTGGACACGAGATATTTATCCCGCCACATAAACCCTCTCTTATGGGTGCTCTACATCTATAATTCCCATACGGTCATTTGACTCGACAGTCGACATCCTTACACTTAGCTCCTCATGTTGAAGTGTCGTTTCAGCTAGATACTAATCAGAAAACTTATATACACTTAGGGTCTGCTTGTTAGCAGCTTAATGAGTTTTGATGGGACTTACAGCTTATTTGGCCAGCTATAAATGATTGTTTGATAGTGGCTTAATGATATAGAAAATGACTCTTTTAATAAGTTTTTTTTTGGGAGGGGGGGTTATGCAGAAAGGAAAGTTTTTCCTTCTCAATTTAAAAAACAAGCTCCTATGTTCTATCGATGAAAAAGCCCTCCAAACAAAAATCTTCTCAATCTATACAGAAAGATTAATCCACACAATCAAGAACTTAATGGAAAACCCACAAAACAGCCCCTTAGAAACTTTCTCTCTCTTCCTAAAGACTGTTTTAGAGAAAGATTTTAATGGGGTTCCACATATCCTGAAAGTGTGAATGCCACCGGCCACACCTTTTGCCTCAAAGACCAAGGCATTGCCATGGTCAACCATGACTCGTGTGGCTTTTGCAACCAAGAAAAGTGTTGTTCAATCTGTATGTGTGAGACTCGTTTCCTTTTATCTTCTTTTGCTCTTTCAATGCTTTGGGGGGCAAAGGCAAAAGTCCACATAACTCTCTGTTTGTAAACTAAGTCAATTCTTGTACCACAACCAACTCAAACCAAAACAATCTGATCCCTTGAACATGCTTAAGAGCTATTGTACCACATTAATAGGGTCAACTTTCAATAGATTATGAAACTATATAATAATAATAATAATAATAATAATAATAATAATAATAATAATAATAATAATAATAATAATAATAATAATAAAAATAATAATAATAATATAGATGTTTCAAATTCCTAGAAGGCAGGTATCTTCTATTTGACTTTCTCTTTCATTAATCAAATGAGAATTTTAGGATGATTTCATATTAATTTATTTCCAGACTAGTAGTTGATAGATAGAGATACCTTGCAACATTGGGGTCCATATATAGCTTGATCAAATCCCAGTCTTGGCTCATTCTCATCATCATCTGATCATCAGTAGCAGCATAAGTGGATTGCACTCAAAGACTTGAGATTTCGAAAGTCAAACCGATCATCATCAATGGAGGTTCCTGCTGGTTTTCTGCTTGTTTCCCTTCTGCTCTTTTCTTTTGCAGCTACTGGCTATGGTATCACCTTCTCCTCCCTTCCAAGGAGTCTTGTGGTTACCACTTCACCCACACAGGGCCAAGGTTTGACCATAACTCTGATTCTGATCATCAAGTCATGAATGCATATATCATAGAAATCGAATAAGTATAGCTAATAGCTAATTACACTATCTCATCAAGAAAATTTGTGTTGATTATTAAAAATTTATGCGTACCTGTTTTTTTCTCTTTCGGGTCTTCATGGAAAAAACCGCTCTACTTTTTGAAGTAGAGGTCAGGTCTGTGTACATCTTACCCTCTCCAGACCCCACCTGTAACAAGGATAAACTAGGCTCATTTGGGTCTTTTCTTCTTATTATTGATTTGAACTTTGCAGTTCTGAAGGCAGGGGAAGAACAAATCACAGTGACATGGGCGTTGAACCAGACCTTCCCAGCTGGGACAGACTCAGCCTACAGGACCGTAAAAGTGAAGCTATGCTATGCACCCATCAGTCAAAAGGACAGATCTTGGAGGAAAACGGAGGAYGAAATGAAGAAGGACAAGACCTGCCAACACAAGATTGTRTCTAGGCCATACAGTGCTTCAAACAACTCCTTTTCATGGACCATCATGAGAGACATTCCTTCTGCAACATATTTTGTGAGGGCGTATGTATTCAACGCTGAGGATCATGAGGTGGCCTTTGGTCAGAATACAAATGCAGAAAGAGCTACCAACTTGTTTGAAGTCCAAGCAATCACAGGTCGCCATGCGTCCCTTGATATTGCATCCGTCTGCTTTTCTGCTTTCTCCATAGTCGCATTGGCCGGTTTCTTCTACATGGAAAAGAGCAAGGGAAAGGCATCCCAACAGAAATGAGATTATCAGCAGGGTGGGAATTAAGGTCCTATTACTTGCTGAAAAGAAAGAGTCCTAATTTCGTTTTAATATGGTGGTGTCCTACAAAACTCATCACAGATCACATACTGGTGCAGTATTGGGAGAAGGGATAAATAAAAATATGATTGTGATAGAAATGAGTTAATCATGTTTGTATTATTGAAAATAGAATAGAAAATGCTCTCTTCATTGTAATGAACCCGGATGTTTAAGTAATGAAAATGTGTTCTTTCCATACCACCGTCGTATTTTTCAATTTTTTTCCAACTAATGTGTTAAAGATGGTGGAATGGCTACACAACCAGATAGAAAGTAGTGAAATATTATATAGAAGGCGCAAACTATTAACAATTGAGAAATAAGGATATCCATCATTTTCTAGTGCCTGAGAGATTGAACTCCAAGAAATAGTGAAAGGATTTCAACACAGAAACTTATAACTCACCAGTTCAACTTTTTCCTTGATCTATGAGTTTTCAATATGATTAGACAGAAAATGGATAAATGAGCTTATCAAGAATCTGCTATGTATCCATAGAGGTAAGGCATATCGAGTGAAGTTCACTAATGTTTCATGATTGTTGCTTTCTTGATAGAATAAGCAAATTTATTGATGTCTTAATCGTTTTCAGTAATTGGTAAGCTATATCTCGCAAGTGATATAAATGCATCGACTGTAAAAATAATTAAAAATTGGGAGCTAGAGGTACGCATGCCGGTGGTGCAAAATCTTTTACGTATCTACATCAAAAAGTCAACCATAGCACCATGAACCCCACAGGTTAAAAATGAGCAGTGACGTTACCTTTGCTTTGGAGGTGTAACTTGATCTATTACTTGATTTAATTAAAACACAGATTGCATGCTGATGAAGTCATTGAAGTACATGATAGATGATAGATAATTTACAAAATAAGTGGCAAATACCTACTAGTTGACAAACTAAGTGGGGAACAAATCCATATACGTAACTGTCTTAAAGAACATAAGAAAATAATACCTGGTCCACTGGATAAATTAACAGAGCAGCAAAACTGACATCTTTTGCAATTCTAGAATCTTGAAGTAACCACTATGGAAGGGCTCTCATAACATATGAGTCTCCATGTTAATGGATCGCCATCATGACATCAAAAGCATCCTGAAAGTTCCACCTTCAATCTGACAATCATCATGAACTGAAGCTTTGGCATCCATTAGCAGCAACCTCAAGACAGATATCTGAGGCACATTTACTTTCTTCAAATTATTCATATGAACCAATGGACAAGTGCATCAACATCACTATTCACCTCTAAATGAACTTAAGAATCGGCCATTTAACCCGAATGAGCTCTGAAACCATAAAAACATTGAATACCATAATTTATATTTGTGCAACTGCTTCTAGTAAGAATTGATCATCATCATCATGACAAAAGAATATCAAATCTCATGACCAAAAGTTCTAATGCTTCTCAGGCGAGATGTCAATTAGCAGTAACCGATAAACTAAAATGTTGGTTGCACTGTCCAATCTAAGTTATTAAGTGATATTCCATGAGTTATACTGCTTGATGGAAGAGTGCTCTCACATCATGATTTACGTCTAAATTAACTTAAGGATCAACTCTTGCAACCATATTTCACATGTGCAGTGCTCAGTACAATGGTATGATGATCAACATTTAATTCTGTCGTAGGCTGTCTTGATACAGTAGCAGGTGTGCTATATTTCTTATGGGCAGAGAGAATCAACTGTAAAAAAAATATCTATTTCGTTAGAGATAGGTATGCATACACAAAAAAGTCATCATAGAACTTCCCAGATAAAAATATACATTCTGTTTAGAAGAATGAAAATCAGCCAATTAGTGTTTATTTTAAAATGAGTAAATTACGTTCTTAGTCCCTGTGGTTTGTTGAAAATTTCTATTTCGTCCTCATGGTTTTGAAATTACAATTTTCATCCCTATGGTTTATAATTCATTACTTTTTTCGTCCTTATGATTTAAAATTTATTGCTTTTTTTTTTGTCCTTATGGCTTACAATTCATTTCTATTTTAGTACTTCATACTTAAAAGTAGTGTTTTGGATCAGGGACGAAAATATAAATGATTTGCAAACCGTTATGGATGAAAACCAAAATTTTGAACCACAGGGACGAAATCTGCAATTTTTAACAAACCACAAGGACGAAAAACAATAATTTACTCTTATAAAATTTAGGAGGGGATTACAGGAAATAAATATACCTGGGTATCACCAAGTATGCGGTGTATTATAAATTCGGCATAATAGTAATTGGCTAACTTAGTCAATGMATAGCCAGCACAAACCCAAACAATATGATCCCTTGAGCATGGTTAAGAGTTATTCTACGGTGTATTATAAATTCGACATAATAGTAATTGGCTAACTTAGTCAATGMATAGCCAGCACAAACCCAAACAATATGATCCCTTGAGCATGGTTAAGAGTTATTCTACCTGATAATAGGAACGAACTGTCATACTAAAAAAACGAACTGTATTTGACTTTCTTTGTTGTTCAATAATTTTAGTGTTTTTTAGTATGATTGGAAATTAGTTATTTCTAGACTAGTTGGTAGATACCTGTACCTTGCATCATTGGGCTCTATATATAGCTTCTCAAATGCCAAGTCTTGGCCCATCTTTTCATTATCTGATCATCAGTGGCAGCATAAGTGGATTGCACACAAAAGACTTGAAACTTTAAAAGTCAACCTATCATCATCAATGGAGGTTCCTGTTGGTTTTCTGGTTGTTTCTCTTCTGCTCACTTGTTTTTCAGCTACTGGCTATGGTGTCACCTTCTCCTCCCTTCAGAGAACTCTTGTAGTTACCACTTCACCCACACAGGGCCAAGGTTTGATCATAACTGAATCTAATTTCAAAGAACTCATGAATGCATAGATCATAGAAATCGAATAAGTATAGCTAATAAAACTATCTGCAAGAAAAGATGTGGGACTTGGGAGTACTTAAAGGTTTAAACTCTTTTGTTGATTATTAGAAATTTAAGCATACCTGTTTCTCTCTTTCACACACTTCTCACAAGTTGGGTCTTCAAGCAGACGGTTGCTCTACTCTTTGAGGTAGACGTCAAGTCTGGATACATCTAACCCTCCCCCAAACCCCACCACTGGCTGGGATAAACTAGGTTCATTTGTTCTTGTTTTTTGTTTTTTTCTTATCACTGAATTGAACTTTGCAGTTCTGAAGGCAGGGGAAGAACAAATCACAGTGACATGGGCACTGAACCAGACCTTCCCAGCTGGGACAGACTCGGCCTACAGRACTGTAAAAGTGAAGCTATGCTATGCACCCATCAGTCAAAAGGACAGATCTTGGAGGAAAACGGAGGAYGAAATGAAGAAGGACAAGACCTGCCAACACAAGATTGTRTCTAGGCCATACAGTGCTTCAAACAACTCCTTTTCATGGACCATCATGAGAGACATTCCTTCTGGAACATATTTTGTGAGGGCGTATGTGTTCAACACTGAGGATCATGAGGTTGCCTTTGGCCAGAACACAAATGCAGAAAGAGCTACAAACTTGTTTGAAGTCCAAGCAATCACAGGTCGCCATGCGTCCCTTGATATTGCATCCGTCTGCTTTTCTGCTTTCTCCATAGTAGCATTGGCCGGTTTCTTCTACATGGAAAAGAGCAAGGGAAAGGCATCCCAACAGAAATGAGATCAGCAGGGTGGGAATTGATGTTCTGTTAATCGTGACATTTAAATTCAGCAAAAAAAAAAAAAAAAGAATTCTAATTTGGTTTAACCATGGTGGTGTACAACTTAGTACTGATCACTTACAGGGGCCGTGGTGGGAAGTGAGGATAAATAAAGATGGTTGTAATAGACATGTGTTAATTATGTTCTTTTTGTTTAAAATAGAAAGGAAGATGCCTCTTCATTGTTTTGGACCCAGATGTCAAGTTATACAAAAATGTGTTATTCCATACTACTAGCATCTTTTTCAATGTCCAATCTATGCGGTTAAGAAAGTGGAACGACTACACAACAGGATGACAACCCCATTCTCCCCTTCGAGTGTCTTATATCGAAGGTGCAAACTATTAGCAACTGAGAAATAAGGATGTCCCACCATTTTCTGACGCGTGGAGATTGAGCTCCCAGAAATAGTAAATGGTTTTCTCAACACACAAATGTATAACTCACCAGGACTTTGAATGGTGCTAATATTTATATGGTCCTCAAGTTACTGTACATGGTTATTACTGAGGCAAGACGCGATTAAGAAAATAGGTGGTAAATTCAGTACAGTTTACCAACGTCTCAAGTTTGTTGCTTCCTTGCAGGTTCCATTGAATTATGGATTATCAGAAAGCCTCTTGCGAATTTTATTGCTGTCTTGATCATTTCAGTAGCTGGTGAGCTATATTTAAGACACGAAATAGATGTATCAACTGTAAGAATAGTTAGAATTTGAGAGCTCAAGATAAGCATGAGGATAGTGTGAACAGACTAATCTTTACATATCTAAACCAAAAAGTCAAACATAGCAAAAGAACCTTGCAGCAGTTGGAAAAGAAATGGAGTGACGTAGTTCTAGTGAGCATATTATTTATTTTAATTAAAAGAGAGATTGCATGCCAATAAGTCATAGAAGTAGGCGATAGATAATTGACCAAATATATGACTGTACCTACTAATTGACAAATTAACTAGGGAACAAATTCATAGGTTTAGCCACGTTAACATAAGAAACCCATATGTGTGGACGCACTCAAATATAAAATGTTTAGCCGCGTTAAAAACATAAAAATTTCATATAAACCCGCAAGACAAAATCACAGATCAGCAAAAATCTAAATTCTGAAAGCAACCACCATGTAAGAGCTTCCATAAGGAAGTACAAATTTCTACGTTTAATAAATCACCACCATGGCACCAAAAGCATCCAGAATACTCTACAGGAAAGCTGATAATCATCATGAACAGAAGCTTCAGTGCCCAGCAACTGAAAGAAAAGATATCAGTGGCGTCATTTACTTTTCTTCAAATTATTCTATATGGATCAATGGACAAGTAAATCCATCATCATGAACTGCTTCTAGGAAGAATTGATCATCACCATCATGAACAAAAACCCCCAACTCTAGCTGAGAAGTTGAGTCACCCTTCTTTTTAATACCAAATCTCATCATGAAAAGCTCCTATGCTTCTGAGTCAATATGTTAATTAACAGTAACAGAGAAATCAAATGCCGTTGTTTAATCTTAATACTCTAGTTAAAGTTCTTATTATGTGATAATTTATGGGAACTTGTAGCATTAATTTAGGAGAGTTAATAGCTTTGAATAATATTGGAATCCTAAATTAAAGACTTTACAGTTAGAATAGGATCCCAAAAAGCTTATGCAGTAAGAGTGATTAGTCAATTTATACATAATCCTAATGAAGTCTACATGCAAGCAGCACATTGCAACATCTCAAGGCAACACCGGGAAGAGGAATCATGTTCAAAAGAAACGGAAGTACAACCCTTGAAGCATGTACAAATGCTGACTACATAGGTTCAATGCTAGAGATTGACATCAGGTCATCGTACCTTCACTGGAGAAAATCCTGTAACATGGAGAAACAAAAAACAAGGATAGTAGCATGTTCCAGTACTGAGACAGAATTTCATGTAATGGCACAAGGTCTATGTGGATTCCTTTGGTTGAAAATCATCCTAAAAGACTTAAAAACTAAGCGGAAAAGTCTTATGAAGCTCTATTGCGACAATGAATCAACAAATGTAAGTGCGGTTCAGCATGGTAGGATAAATCATGCCAAGGTGGATGGACATTTCACCAAGGAGAAACTAGAGAGTGCTTGGTATGCACACCTAATGTACGGATAACTTGTTGATATTCTCAACAATGAATGCAAAATTCATACTCACCAGCTTAAGGGGTAGCGTGGGAATTTGTTGCATTAATTTAGGAGAGTTAATTGTTGTAAATGACATTATATTGAAATCCCAAAATTAAAGGGATTTCGATTAAGAATAAGATCCCAGAATTAAAGGGATTTCAGTTGGAATAAACCAAACCAACCAATCCCAGTATGTGCCACTTGGAAGTAGGGGTCTTTTCCATGAAAACCCCAGGCCTGCGAAAAAAGTGTTTGCGTAACAGTTTTGGAGAAGACCTGAGTGCTTCAAAAAGTTTGTGAAAAAAGTTTGAAGAGTTTAAAGAGTAGAGAAGAACTTGACACGTAAAAGCTAGATGACGAAGAGTTTTGTAAAGAAAAACTAAGACTAGTATACAGTAAAAGAGATTTTAGTTAGAATAGGATCCAAAAATCAGGGGGATTTTCTATAATTACTTTCCTGATATTATGTTGCATTCCGTGTATATATATTGCTCATTAGTGGATCAATGGAAGACACATATAGACCTTAAACTATGTTATATTCCATGAGTTATTTATATAGTTATTCTGCTAGATAGAAAGGAAAATTCACGTCACAATTTTCCACCGCACTTAACTTGAGGGTCAACTCTTATATCCACATTCCACATGACCGCAACACATAGCAAAGCTTAGTACGATTGTATGATAATCAACATAATACTGCCGTAGGCCATCATGATTCAGTGGGACGTGTGCTATTTTCCTATGGCATCAGAGAGAATCAATTGCAAGAAAATATATTTGTTAAGCTACAGAGAAGTACATATTCACTAAAAAGAAATCATCATAGTACTTCCTGATAAATGTATCATGTATAGTGAACCTCTGTTTTAAAGAATCAAAATCAACAAAGTGTTTCATTATAGATTGAAGTGCGGTTCTCAAGAACGAAAATATACCAGGGGCATCACGAAGTAGGCAGTGTATGATAAGTTAACCTTTTAAACATAGTAGCAATTGGCAAGATCAGTCAATGAGCAGCCAGCACATATCCAAACAAACTGATCCCTTGAACATGGTTAAGAGTTATTCTAACTGATAGATAGGAACGAACTAATATATATATATATATATATATATATATGCAACTGTCATGGAAAAACTAAACAAAAATCCTATAAGGCAAGTGGTTTCTATTTGACTTCTTTGTTATTAATCAAATTGGATGTTTTTCAGGATGATATAAAATTAGTTTATTTATAGATTAGTTGACAGATCGCAATATCTTGCATCATTGGGGTCTATATATAGCAGCTTAAATGCCAAGTCTTGGACCATCTGCTCATCATCAGTACCAGAACAACTGAATTGCTTTCAATTTAGGTCCTACATATTGAGGTTTAAAAATCAACCCAGCATCAATGGAGGTTCATAGTAGTTTTCTTGTTGCTTCTATTCTGTTCTCCTGTTTTGCTGCAACTTGCACTGGCGTGACCTTCTCCTCCCTTCAGAAGACTCTTGTAGTTACTGCTTCATCCACACAGGACCAAGGTTTGATCATATTCTAACACTAATCTTACAGAATCCATGACTGCATAGATCATAGAAATTGAATTGGATTGTTATCAGTGCAAAAATAATCAAACTTTGTTATTGATCATCATTGAATTTAATTTTCCAGTTCTGAAGGCAGGGGAAGAACAGATTACAGTGACATGGGCATTCAACCAGACCTTCCCGGCTGGGACAGACTCGGCCTACAGAACYGTAAAAGTGAAGCTATGCTATGCACCCATCAGTCAAAAGGACAGATCTTGGAGGAAAACGGAGGAHGAAATGAAGAAGGACAAGACCTGCCAACACAAGATTGTGTCTAGGCCATACAGTGCTTCAAACAACTCCTTTTCATGGACCATCATGAGAGACATTCCTTCTGCAACATATTTTGTGAGGGCGTATGTATTCAACTCTCAGGATCAAGAGGTCGCCTTTGGCCAGAACACAAATGTAGAAAGAGCTACAAACTTGTTTGAAGTTCAAGCAATCACAGGTCGTCATGCATCCCTTGATATTGCATCCATCTGCTTTTCTGCTTTCTCCATAGTCGCACTGGCCGGTTTTTTCTACATGGAGAAGAGCAAAGGAAAGGCATCCCAACAGAAATGAGATTATCAGCAGGGTGGGAAGTAATGTCCCCATGACATATTTAAATACAAAAAAAAAAGGAAGCCCGATTTGGTTTTACTACGGTGATGCACTACTTATTGCTGATCACCCAACGGTGTCGTCTTGGGGAGTGCGGATCACTAAAAGATGATTTTTTGGGATAGAAATTAATCATGTTTGTTTATTTGGATACAAAGTGAGATGTACCATTTGTTAAAGTCTAATGACTAAAAGACAGGTGTTTTAAACCGGATGCTGAGTTACAGAAATCTGTTATTTGCATACTTCTAGCATTGTTTCAGTATTGATGTTAAACATGTGTTTAAGGTGGAACAGCTGAACGGGATGACAAACAAACTGCCCCCACCTACCTGTGCATGTGCATGGTGGTACCTCCATCGAAGGTGTGGCTGTAAGCACCTTGGATGTTAGTGGCATCATCTACTTGTATAAACTTCTTTGACTTAGTCAATCATCAGCATGACATTAAGAATACCGAAAGGGAAGAAAGTTTGATCATAAAAAGGTAACACTTAGGCTTCTCATTCAAGGTTCCAATTAGAACTAACTGAGAAATTAAGATATTTAGTTTATTGCTTAATTCTCAAACTTAAAGCTGAAGCTCTTATCAGTAGTGATTGATTTATGTAGTTTTACTGCTAGATGGGAGAAAGTATTCACACCATGATATACCTCTAAACTAAGGATCAATGCTTTCACCCAACTGACACACAAATGGTGCACTGTCCTCGGAATGAATGTGAGATAGTGCATGGATCAGCATTTAGTAATTAGTATTGCTGGTAGCTGTCTGGATTCAGTAGCTGGTTTCTTACACTGGCAGAGAGATCAACTGTAAGATAACTGTATTTCAAGAGCTAGAGATAAGTATATCCGACAAAAGAAAACATTATAAAATATTTATCGAAAACTCAAATTAATTGGGAAATTACCTCATGATGGTTATGCTACCGGAGGAATACCCATTTACAAGCTCGAGGAGTTCTCCATTCCCATTAAGAAATACAAATTCTAATAACTCTAAACTGACATGAAAGAATTTAAAACACCAACAGTTCAATTAACTTACAAATTGATGACTTGACTCCCTCCAGTACGTTGATTTTGCAGAAAAAAAGGCCCTTTCTGGGGCATTATGTGACCAATAGGAGATAGTAATGAGATTTATGAGGAATCAAGTGATTGTCAATCCAGTATCCTGCCTGGTGTGACATAAAAGTACATTAAGCCACTCTAAAATATGTCTAATGTCAAGGACGAAGCGACTAACCATCGAGTGTGTGAAGAAGTTCTAAAGGATGCATAAGCCTTGCTCTTAAAATTAAGATGGCTGATGGAACAATACTTTTCAAATTTGACAAGTTCAAATTGCAAAGAAGAGTACTAGCAAATATCACCTCCATAGCCCTTCAGTAAAATAATTGTTGGTGCCATAGCTTAATGAGTAACAGAAAATGCCAAATGGAATAAGAGAAATGTACAATTAGCGCATGTATCTGCTTGAGTTATGTATATAGAATAATATACAAGAAATATAGATTAACAAGGTAGAATGTGAATCATATCAATCAAATGCACACAGTAGTACATATCATGACCAGAATGTCAATAATTTTGAATTTCGTTACAATTAGGATGACAGGCATGCATCATCATATATTTTTATACAAGAATCTATGTACCTGTATGGTTTTTTAACAGAAAAAAGGGAGTATTTAGGTCCTTTTCTACTTAACATGGACATTTGAGTAGTTTATATTAACTGCCAGTCTGCCACAGACCAGAGTACCACCTAACCTGGAGTAACAAAGTGCAGAATTCTTGGTATTACAAATTATATAACTGTCAACAGTCAACAATGATTTTCAGGGTAAAAGAACATCAACAGGTAGATTATACATTACAGTGCTATGAATCAGGTATCTGGAAAACAAGTAGAGATTGCCTAAAAAGAAGTTAGTAGCTCACTGATCTTTTCTTTATTTGTGTTCCTTACTTCCTTATGTGTCTGATTATTCATCATTACGTTATGCTCTACGGGGAATTAAAAAGTTACTCATTAAATTGGAAAGTTTCACAGAAGAAATTAAGGCTAATGAGGAGAAATACAACACACACTCTCAAGGATAGAATGCGAAATTAGAGAGATGAATACTTGCTAATATTCCAACAAATGTTCTTGAGGATAAAGTTAACCAGAAAGTTACATAGATGAATACAAGTTACTTAGAAGTAGTACCAGACATAGCCGAAATTGACCATGCTTAAAAGTGCATCATGGTCCTTTACTAGGTTCACGCACTTTCGCTCAAGCAACACTGCTAAAATGCTTTCTAATACATTAGCTAACATAAATTCCACCTTCATTTCAGAAGGATGACCTCCACAAGCTGATAAAATCTAGCATGCTTAGTGGTTGAAAACCATTTCACTGCTTGCCATCCGGTCAGTACCAATAAGTGATAACCTATCTTCAAAAACATCTATATATCCGAATGCATCAGTGCCTGGAGGGCATTCCAAGGCTGCTTCAAGTACCCGATGGTGTACCCCATGAGAGTCGACAGAGTGTCCACCTTGATGATCATGACCGCCTAGGCAAGCCTTCACACAATCGTACCTATGAATCACATCCATAACTTCATCATAATTCCACAAGAGTGCTTCTTTCGATGTAGCTCCAGGATCTAGGGGAATATGGCAGCATACAACAACTTTTTGATTGGACTTGGTAGCATCTTGGAGTATGTTATCCAGCCATTTCAACTGCTCTTTCCCAACTGCACCATTGAACTTGAGAAACCTTCTCTCAAGATCCACTAGTCCATTTGGACTATTTTTCTCCACATTAGGATTTTTCTCATCGAGTAACTTTAAGGCTTCAATTGTGTGAGGATGATCATGAGGCCAACCAACTGCACTGATGTCGTAACCATCAAGGACGACAAATCTGTACTCTGGGATTGGAGAAAAATCATAGTAAGCACATGTATCAACACTAGGAATAGACAGCAATGGAAGCAACTTGCTGCGAGGGAGATTGTAGAGGCAGTGATTGCCAATCATATGATACACAGGACCATTGAAGTTCTCAAATTCTTTAGCTACTTTCCTAACAGCATTTAGCGATTGATCTTTAGGACAATACCCATCGACAATGTCCCCAAGATTTAGTGAGAAACTGATATTCTGGTGATTGTTCCATTTCTGTACTGCCCTCTGCAACACGAGAATGCTATTTCTGTAATATCGAGGAACACCAATGAATGAACGCCCATCAGGAATGTCAGCATACTGGACATCTGTGATAACTCCAAATGAGAAAAGAGGCTGATTCCCTTGTGGTGCCACTCCATTTGGGTAGCCCATTCTTTGACAACTATTCTCTGGTAAAATCAAGAATACATCAAAATAACCATGGTATGGTTCATGATCATTGCATGTGCTGTTGGAACACGTAATAAGCAATGTTAGAACTTGTATCACAAAATCGACCTAAGGTTATAACCCGCCAACATGTAAAAGACATTCCATGATCTACAATTAACATGTATGTGTGCCACTTACTTTGACCAGATGGGTCGGATTGGTGAATGAAAGGTACTTCTACTTCCCTTAGCGTGATGAGATCCTGATGCCTAACTATGGGGAAATGAAGAAAATAACCAACATCGATCCAATTTCTGCATAGGTTCTATATATTCCTCCCCACACATTTTTACTTTTTTGCTGAATATTATTAATTATATTACATGACACAACAGTGGTTAACTGTACAGTGATCGAATGCATAATTTCAATGACTAATTGACTTCCATACCACAGCCACCTAGTTTCACTAATTGACTTCCAACAATACCCAGGGTATAACATTAATACTATACAAATGGACAAGAATGAGATTCTTTTATCCCTTTCTTATCCTCCGCCTGCTCTGGAACTTGAACTGAATCCCATCAGTTCATGTTCTGTGCAAATCAAAGTTTCAATGCATCATAAATTTCTCCTGATCACAGCCTAAGACGAAATACGAACATGAGAGAGAGAGAGAGAGAGAGAGAGAGATGGAGGGATCAACTAAAATATCATTGAATGAATGCAGGAAAACTAATACAAAAGAATTATACTGCTAATCTACCAGCTAAACTCTGCCAACTATCAAAACCCAACTAACTAAAGGAACTTTCGGAGTTAAATAAATACACTAGCTGTAATACATTACAGCCCTGTTAAGTGAGTGTTTTCCACATGACCATCTTAAACAGCAAAATTCTGGTTGTATTCAAGACTGCACCATGGATAAACATCTGCATCCATGCTCAATGTGGAAACTGGGATGTCCATATCTCCTTCCTCACTAAAATTTACATTTATGAACATATGTTCTTGATATCCATACAATCTGCTCTACGTCTTACTTTTAATTCACTTTAGTTGCCTTCAGTATGCTTGGTAGGCTAATAACTTCCAGGGTATTTAAATTACTAGCATATTAATAATAGAAGTCTAAAGATATACCCAGTTTGTGGTTAATTGCTTGGAAAGATGTAATGTGCTAACTTCATCCCTAGGATGTAAAAGATTTACAATGAGAACCTTTCAAGTCCTTTTTGCTATTTGACTTGGGATAAAATAGCATAAGTGTAGGCAAACAAGCCTCCTCGTAAGTTTCCTCTTAGAGATTAGGAGTTACAGTTATATGTTTTTGTAATTACACCACATAGCTATCAAGATACTGCATTATGACATAGTAGGGTCCTATGAGAATCACTTCATCAAGGAATACTTCTACAATATGAGCACCTTTTAAGTGGTCATTAGTAATGTTTTACAGATTTGCTCCAAGAAGCAAGTTGCCAAAAGTAGCATGTTTTTTTAATTTAAGGTAACAAACTTCACTTTAAATCATATGAAAATTACCTGTCTCTCACCGCCCTCATATCTAAAGAACCAAATTATATCCCAGAAATTGAGGTAATCATACAGGCAGGACTCAAAAAGAAAAGGAGGCAGCCAGGACAAACAAAGCAACCCCCCTTATTGATACAATGTAAATGCTTAATCTTGAAGTTTCGGTTCAAAGCTAATGAATAATTGAGTGATAACTTGAACGTCCTCTGGCACACAGACCACAGAGCCAAACAAAAGCTACCGGAAGGATTGCATACCCTTACATTTCCGATGTCAAACCAGGTCATTTACATATTCAAACTTAATATAGATTGATACACTTTCCAACAAAGTAATTCTTCCAAATGTAGCTTGTTTTAAGAAGTTTAATATAGTTTAACAACTTCTCTTTATTACTCCAAGGATCCATATCATAATGAAAGTTGAAAATTAGTCTATTTAACCTAAAAGAAACAATAGTTCTGAACGGAGGCCGTCCAATTTTATTGTAAAAGAAGAACCCCCCCCCCCCCCAACAATCATATATTATATATTTGCGATTCCAGAGGCCCGTGTAATCTTCCACATAGCTTACAGCAATAAACTGGAAGCATTTTTCCCCAAAAAAGATTTAGCTTAAACTCGAAAGGTATGTGGCTATTTCAGATACATTGGCAGTCAACAATCACACCGACGGTACAAAAAAGATGATTCCGGTGACGAATTGGGAAAAACGTAATCAACTGAAAGTACAAGAACGGGATGGAACTTACAATCAAATTACGGTCCAAATGTGATACAGTAAGTGCAGGAAAGCGAGAGTTTTTGCATCAACTACTCGAATGTTCAACGATGAAATTGATCCTCGGGAATTTTGTTCCGACAATAATGGATGGTGAAGAACATGAATGGACAGAAAGAGATCCGCGTAGCCCTTTTGCTCGTGTTTGAAACGTGTTTCCCAACCAAACAAAATTATTTATATTGATTAATCGATATATAACGTGTTATTCATTTTTATTCGAGTAAAAACCAATTAATCCGATAAGTATTTACCAATAAAATTTAATATTATAATTTATTTTATCGTATTAGATTATAGTCTATTAAAACAGTATTCTATACAACAATTTATTTGGTAAATGTTTACCAGGTAAGGATCGAGTCTTACTTAGTAAGAGATTGTCTGTTAACTCTTAATAGTTTTATTAAGAGGCAACATTTGAATCGTTAAGAGATGAACCTTGTTTGCCAAAAAAAATCTGTCTCTTAATGATTATAAAACCCTCTGAATGATTTTGTATCTTGGATCTTTTTTAACCATTAAGAGCCCTAATTTCATTATACACAATTATCAAACAATTATATTTCATTTTCCACTATATCATGAGAGTCTCTTAATCGTTTTGACCACTTAATCATTCTACATCAAACCATTCAGCAATTGTCAAACAGCCCCTAAGTGAGATAAAATAGTCTTACTACGTAAACGCTTCTTGGGTTTTTAAGACGTTTGTCAACAATTCATTTTGATAATCGAGAATGTTATACGATAAGGTAAGTAAGGGATCGTTTATCAAACGCTTACCCAGTAAGCGCTTACCACATCATAGTACATTACTGTATGGATATGGTAAAGACCAAGAATCTTACCTAGTAAGAGCGAGACAAGGACCAAGAGTCTTACCCGGTAAGTGGGGGCAACGACTCTTACCACAGTAAGTGCTGACGGGGTAAATTGTTGCATACGATGTCGTTTTGATGGACTAAAATCTTACCCGGCAAGTAAATGGCAGTGTTAATTTTTTCCAGTAAACGTTTATCGGGTAAGTGTTTGGTAAACGGCCCCTAAATCTCATAAAAGTCGTTTCCTCACTTACCAAGTAAGACTCTCCATCCTTATCATCTTTTTATCAGATAAGATTTATGGTATTTGACATGTTCATCTGATAAGATAAATAGTTATCAAATGTTTATCGGATAAACATTCAATAAACGGCCCCTAAATTTATCTATATACGATACTATTGACAATAATGAAAGCAATCTATAAAACTAGATAGTTGCAACAAAATAGACATTGTATTAAAATTAGTAATTTTATACAAATCTGATTAGCAATTTTTTACTTTCGTGTTTTGAGAACGTAAGGATTGTGGTCGTTGGTGGTGATGATGGTGTCTAACGTTGTATCACGTTCTCACTACGGGGTTTATTTGTTGAGAATCTAGGATGGGTAATGTGGTCTCCATCCCGTCCCGTCCAAATACTAAATATATTATAAATATTTTATTATTAAATATTATTTGTAAAGATTTAGATTTAATATCTTTTAGATTTAGAAATAGTATTTTGATATTTATTTTATATACATTTTCTCTTAGTTGTTTTACTTTTTTTTAAATAAAAGAAACATTGAAAGTCAAAAGCGTTTGATCAAACAATTATGTATGTGATGTGATTTTGTTCATACATAAATATTTGATACTCTATAAAAGCAAATTTTGAAAATATATGAGTTTTAAACATAGACCATTATCAATCAAGTGTAGTATTTAACACATCTAATTTAAAGTATCTTATATTAACGGAGGAAAAAATATCTGATTCTCCATTGGAGATCCTCGTTCCCGATTAGAAACGGAGATGAGGATGTGATCTTATTCCTCGAAGGATAGGGACGGGGACGAAGATCAGGATCGGGATGGGGATTGGGGTCCCCGCCCCGTTCCCATGTTTGTCCAGCAAAATAGGTGGGAAAATGGGATAAGAAACTAAAATATTACTAATCTATCATTATTTGATGTATAAATATTAATATTATATTTGTTTTAGTGGACCACCACCAGTCATGGCCACCGCTATCACTGGCAGCCACCTCCAACTTCTCTTCTACTACAACCACCTCTTTCACCACTTCCACAACCAAGTCGACCATCGACCACCATCGTCCGTTGCCACCTCCATAACCACCGTCAGCCACCAACTATTACCGTCCATCGTCACTACCACTACCACCATTGGCCACCTCCTCCTCTACTACAACAATCTCTTCCACTCTTCCACAACCACAACTGACCACCACAGTCCATCACCACCACTACCACTGCCAGCACCACCTCCATTACATCAAACACAAACTACCTTATCCACCATTATCAACTGCTACCATCCACCATCATCACATCCTACACAACCACCGTCATCCACCAACCACATAACCATCGTCCGGCGTCAAGCACAATCCACCGCCACCACCATTAGTACCGTCGACCATCACCACCTCCACCACCATTGGCTACCACTACCTATCACCATCAATACATTCACCATATCGGTTACAACTACCTCCTCCACCATTATTGATTGCCTCCTCCACCACCACTACTATCTACCATCTTCACGTCCTCTACATCCACGGTCGGTCACCACCAATTGCCACGACCACTAGTACCGTCAGTCAACACTACCATCGTAACCACCACCACCGCCCACCACCACCGCTAAATCCACCACATTGCCTACAACTATCCACCATCTTCACATCCTTCATAGCCACAGGGCCGGCCCTGAGATTTTGAATGCCCATGGCGGAAAGCCAAAAAAATGCCCCTTATATGTGTGTATAAAAACAAAAATAGACTATTTGAAGGGGTTTGAAACCTAGTCAATCTAGCCGGCTCATCCCCATGCCGATTTCTTTTCCTATTTTGAGCACCAAATGGTTGTGATCGAGGAAACATACTCAAGTAGTTAAATTGTTAAACAAATGATACGATATAAAGAATAGAAAAATAACATCTAAACTTGGACGTTCGTGGTTTTGTTGTGAAATTGCCAAGAAAGTGGATAGATTAAGCAACTTGGACAAATTGATAAAGAAGAAAACATAAGCATCAATCTTAAGCCTTTGTCCTATATTAACCTGCTTCAAAACAGCTCCTAAAAAGCTTCTAAACAGCCCTCAAAACAATGCCCGAACAGCCAGAAAAGGACCAACTATATAATTGAACATCCTTTCTTCTAAACAACCTTCTAATATCTAAACAACCTTCTAAACAGCCTAAAAAGTAAAAAAATTAGAGCTTTTTAGGGCAACTGAAGCTGTTATAACGTTGTAGTTAAAATAGTGGGTCTTCTTAACTGAATGGCTTTCTTTAAAGCTTATTTGCTGCAATATTTGTGGCAATGGAGTCCCAGATCTAATGAATTTACCTTAGGGGCCATCATGGTGAACATGAGCCCCTCCTTTAGAATATTTCGTTGTTTATGTTGAATAGCTCATGCTTGTGATCAAATRATGGTGAAGCACTTAAGCTTCATTGTAAATACCATAACCAATTCCCTGTGAAAAGGTAATTGTGGCCTAGAATCACTCATCCTGTCATCCATCCTCATGCATCAAACTGGTTAAGTGCTTCACCATCATTTGATCACAAGCATGAGCTATTCAGTTATTCAGTTATCAAGGGGGTAGGTCCTGGTGGGGAAGTTATAGATACTTTTCACCAAGTTCGGGATGGATTGGTGTGGTTCCTCTACGCCTAGGACACCAGAATATCCTCCTAACTGTTATTCTGTATTTYTGTTAGAACTTAGAAGGCTGTTTAGAAATTGCAAAACAGCCCCAAAAACARCCTCAAAAATCAAAACAAAAGTAWAGTGGATGTGGAAATATTCAAACATAAASTGATCAAAATCAAKAATCTCTATTCACATTTTGTAATGTTGTTTAAATTACAGAAACCCTAAGTAGGCAATTAGGCAYACATATACAGTATTACATTTACATGATTACATCTTTAAATCTTAAAAGAAAACCTAAGTATGGAGGACAACATCATCTAGATTATGAATGAATCAAACAAGAAATCAAGAATTAGAAACATAAAAAATAAAATAAGTAAAGTAAATATTAATAACCCTAACAGAGTAACAGTAACCGGCTAACCTCACAAGTCAATAGTCGAGAGAGAATCGAGACTCGAGAGAGCGAGAGGCGAGAGCGAGAGCGAGAGCAAGAGCGAATCGGTACAAAGGAAAATATGTTCGTTAGTTCGACAGTTCCGTGAGCAAGAGCGAGAGCGAGAGCGAGAGCGAGAGCGAGAGATAATCGGTACTATGGAGGGCGAAAGTCACAGTTCCTGAGCGAGCGAGAGTCAAGCTGTTGAGGACGAAAGAGAGAGCGGCCGATGGAGTATTGTGGACTTGTGGTAAGCGTAATTTTTTTTTTGGCCCAAAACTGAAGCTATATATGTATATTGGGCTTCATAAACTTGCTGCCCTTAGAATTTTTGCTGCCCTGGGCCATCGCCCCTTGGGCCTATGGCCAGGGCCGGCCCTGCATAGCCACCATCGTCCATCAATCACCAATTCATCTACCTCCACAACCACTGTTGTTGCAACAATCTTCACCATGCCTTTGCCATTTGATAAAGATCTTCCTAACTAAATAAAACATAATCGCTTTGTATGATTCAATTTTTTTCGAATTACCGTTAATTATTTCAAATTTCTCATTCAAATTTGGTACTATTATAAATGTATGTGTTTATGTATATGAAAATTGTGTAAAAATATTTATAAATTAAATTATTTACTTTATTTGTGTAAGTTATAACTATTATATGATATATATATATATATATATATAAATCATCAAATAATTTTTAGGGATAACTTGTCTAGTTCTCCCTGTCCAGTCCTAATCGTACCAAACACAACAGACACTTGTTTTGTCCAATCCTATCTTGTCCAGTCCTACCATTTTGTTTTGCCATGTCCACTGTAGCCGAATCATGTTTGCATACCAAATGCTACCTAAATGACTTGTTATTAAACACTTATCCGATAAGCTTACACCACGGATAGGAAAAAAAATCATGAAGCTTGAGGGATATCAACAGCCAGATAATGCAAGACGAGATACGACTCTAGATGAGGCTTTTGACACTTGGCTATAACCTCGTCGTGTTCATGTTCATGAAATTTATACACCATAACTCGATCATAACCGGTTAACTCATTCACTTCTCGAACCAACACAATCACACATTTCAGATATAATCCCACTCTATAAACATTGTAATATGGCTGCAAGCTTATAAGACTTTAAAGCCCCAAGCCTTAATAAGCTGAAACAGTCGAAGAAGGAACATTGCTACTTGAAGTTGATTCATTGACATCAACGGAAGTCGAGTAATATAATGGTTTTTCAATTGACATCAATGGAATCTTACCCGGTAAAAGCGATGATAAAGATAGAGAGTTTTACCCGGTAAACACTTACCAGATAAATTGTTGCATAAGATATCGTTTTGATAGACTACACCAGATAAATTGTTGCATAAGATATCGTTTTGATAGACTACACCAGATAAATTGTTGCATAAGATATCGTTTTGATAGACTACAATCTTACCCGATAAAGTTAGTTAAGAGTGTTGCCTCTTACCAATAAGCGTTTATCGGGTAGACAACCCCTAAACCCGAAAAATAAAGTTCACCAAAAGAAAGTTGTTACACAACAATACATGATGCAAGACAGAAATTAGTCCCATTGCCAATATACTAAAAAGTCTTTGCATATTGCATGCAACCAAAAGGAGATGATGTAATAGGATAGTAGGACATGGAACATCATCACTCTACTCCTAAACTCTTTAAAGAGCACTGATTAGCAACTTTCTTTGTGTAAAACTACTCAAATTATGTTTTGTATAATGGAACCTCCCTCCTTTCCATGAGATTATGTTGTAGGTCATGACTTCCAACTTTATGCCCTTCTTCCATTGTTAAGAATCTGATCCATCAAGTTCTCTGGCAGTTTTTTTGTTGCCTGATTGAAAAAAAGAACTATAAATAACCTACACATGTTTCCTTTTCTTTCTTCATTTTTGGAAAACTAAAGAAAACTAACCTGATAATGTCTCATATGAAGGATAGGCTCGCAACCCACATCTGCGATTAATTTCCCTTTTGGTGTTCGCAAACTAAACCGTCCAGCTTCATACTGTTTTAGACTATCTTTCCCGAGTGGTAGGCTATTACAGACTTTGAGGAGTGAAACAAGGGAGTTCATCTGGTACACCATGCAAACAAGGATATGAGAAAGGATCATGGTGGAAACAATATCCTGGACATTATTAAGTTATGATAAATTTAGGGAGAGTTTAACAACACACATTGGATAAGCGCTAACCAAGTAAGAGGTGCGGTCTGGGTAAGCGCAGTCGAGTGCTGACTGAAAATGGTTGTTTACCAAGTATTTTGTAGCAAGTGATTACAAATAAAAACAATTTGGGTAAGCACTGCCCGACTCGGTCAGTCACAAGAGTATCAAGGCATCATTTCTTACTGGGTAAGAGACTCTTACCCGGTAAGAGACAATCAGCACCAGGTAAACAACCCCTAAAATCCTAAAATCTGAAATTGCTTGACGAGGCTCAGAATACAAATATAAAGGGAAAACATATTCTTTGCAAATCGTGAACAGGAGTTAGCCAGTGTATGTGTTGTAAAGCACAAGGTACTACTATATCTTACAAAATTTCTGTAGGCTTCCCAAGGGAATGATATCACGGTGGTAAAAACCAAGGAATTTAAATATTCAAACATACGGATAATTAGAAGACTCACCTTCATATATGGACAGGATGCACAGCCACCATGAAGAGAGCACCCCTCGCCACTTGTAACGCCAGGTATTACAGAGACATTCAACTCACCCAAACTTAGGCTTGTGGATGAACTCTGTGAAGTTGTTGTCACTGAATCAGACGAAACGGGAAAGACTATTTCGACACTAACTTTTCCTTCACTAGAAGAAGAAGATTCTGAAGAACATAATAATTGGCGAACTGCTGCAACAATTGAGGTCACCATTCCTGATTCTGTTCCCAAAATGAACTGAAGATGGTCATCGACATTTCTATCCAAAGCCTCTTGTACCCTGCTCTTTATAAAATCTAATATATTTTGGGTGGAACCTACCACCCCCATTCCTCTTCTTTTAGCTTCCATAGCCAAAGAAAACATTTCACCAGGGACCTCAAAATGAGCAGTAAGAAATGCATCACAATACATGTCATTGATCTTTTCTACGACTTCATGGCCAAAGAGGTGATGCACAATGCATGTTCCATCCTGACAAACAATTCCGTTGATAAAATGGCTATTGATCAATATAGTTCAGAACCCTCCACAATTTAAGAGATTCAAATTAAAGTGCTTAACAACCATGTAAAAATGCATTGATGATGTTGTATTAGAAAAAGAATAAATCAAATAGCCTGCTACCACTTAGCACTCCCAGTTTAAGAAATTATAGAAGATGCCCACCTAAAATTTTATATGTGCATACTAAGGGGAAATGTGCAAAAAAATCATTCTAGAATCTGAAAGAGAAAACAGTAGTTGTACAAAGATTTGGAAGCAATCATCAGGAACAATTAGCCAAAACATCAAATAATTGCCACCAATGACAGCTTTTTGAGCTTCCCAATAAATGGCATCCTGCCATTACCTTACCCAAACTCTTTTAGCATAACTTCTATATTGCTGATCACTATCTCAAATCAAATATTACATTAGCAGCCTAACCTCAAAGAATGATCACTTAAAACGACATTGATATACCTATTTAAAGTTAATAAAAACATGTTCATCAATAAGAAAATATAATTTCACAACTCATATTCTGACCATCTTAACTGGATTACCTGGAAATAATGAAGCCGAGGTAACAGTCCCTTGATTGAGTTTCTACTATGATCCGGATGTATCTTGGCTATTTCTTCATCAGTCATCAATGTCATTTGCTGAAACAGCTCCATGATATTTGCGCCCATGTAGGAATCAGGACCATACCATACATTCAATTTTGGTACTTCAGCAAAGGCCTAATAAACAACCACAATACGGTTGCATCAGTAAAATGAAAGAGATAGGCATTCTCATGTGATCACAGAACTGTTAGTACAGAAATGAGGATGAAAAAATACCTGCAAGATGGTTTGCACAACATTAGAAGAAGTGCATGTAATAGTAGGCACAAGTTCATGCGCATGAGCTTTAGTTTCTAATGAGGTATTTATGTAGATGACATGCAAGGAAGGAGAAGAAATAGAAGCTCCAGAGAGATAATCCATATATGCAGGACTGGATGCAGCATCAGCTAGAGAGCAGCCGATCTGTTCATCAGACATCCTATACACGCCAACCTGCAAGAAACCAACCTAAATAACCAATTGCACAAATAGAAACACAGTAACAATGTATTTCACATTACATAGAGAAAACAGAAGTCTTGTCCTGGATGAGTGAGTTTCCTGATTCATGCTTACAAGTTCTGCTTGTAAGGAATAACTTGGAAGAGAAACTTAACGGGAAAAGATAGAAAGTGATACTACCTCCAGCTTGTACTAAAACCTCTTTCCTTGGGGAGTGAAAGATTGAACTATAACCCGAATTATCTTTGAAGACACACACATATGCAACACTCTTATTCTACATGCACAATACTATGTGTGATGAGAAAGCACTACAAGCTTTCCACCATATGTAAGTGTGCCACGAAAATTTTAGAAGATTGAAATTCTATATTTAACCAACCAAGTAGCCACACTCACTTTGACTGCTAAGGAACCCCAATATTTAAATAGAGAAAAAATTGCATAAAACCATATTAACTTTTACATCCATTTAAAACTTGCCATTCACCTACAACATATGAATATGTTAATCCTGCAACTATATGTTCTTTTGTAAATTTGCCATGATTCAACTCTACCCTCTAAAATAATGATGTGCCATTACTTTTTACAAACTTTACCGTCTGAAGTGATAGAATTATTGTTTACGTTTCTTCTACAAAATATTGCGTAGATTCTTAAATAATTTTTATCTAATGACAGAAATACTTTTATTTTAATAGCACTTTGTAGTACATTAATTTATAAAGAAATAAAATACAAACCAGTTTAGGCAAGAACTTGAATTGAGTGCAAACTTGTCTCTGGTATTCTTATAGCGGGATAATAAATATTACCTTTACCTTGAAAAGAACAAATTTTAAATAGAAATAGTTAAAATATTTTTTATACAGATGATTAAATATTGATTAACACAATGAAGTGAATGAACCTTTACCAATCTTCATTAAAGATTGGTAAGTTGGGAACATCATATTTATCTTGATATAACTTTGATATTCGACTCTTCTTTTAAACTCAAAAGAATGTCAAAGTGAACCTTATTTTGGTAAGATGGGAGTAAATGACTAATATGTTATATCTTAAAAATAAGTCACCTCATAGTTTTAGACATTAGAGTTAAATGTGGGCAAGTCTACAAACAAACATATTGTTTTATTTTTATTTTCCATATCTACAACAAACGTATAGTTGAAGAGTTAAAAAGTTCAACCTTGTAGATGAGTGCACATCTAAAACTTACCTACAAGTTCATAGAGAAATTTCATCCAAATATATAGACAGAATTATTCAATAAAGTAGTTGAAAATTTGGTGATCAAGCAAATAGAATTGTCTCCTACCTCTTTCGCCATGCACAAAGGCAAGAAAAAAATAATAAGTACTAACTTTTCTAAACTGAAAAATGGTCAACAAAGAAAACATGGTTTGCACTGGTAGAAATCTTCCTTTTCTCCAGTGCAGGTAAGGTGCCTATAGTTAATTAGTTATCAATAAAAATGACTATGATCCAACTTAAGGTTCCTATACATGAACAATCTTCAAATGGTATGTGAATTTCAGTCTGACAGAAATAAACCTAATCTGATATATTTAAACCTCTTAACTCCGCCAATTAGCAACGAATGGAGTAAACCACATTCATATAACTCTTTGGAATATTTGTGTTGCCTATGTGTAGAATCACTACTCTTGACGAATATAATAGTACCATTGCGTGCATAAGTTAATTACTATTGTAGTCCACAACTCATTATAAAAAGAAAATACAGAACTACAATTCAACAAAGTGCATGAAGAGGAAAGTTGAAGGTTGATGCTTACCTCAGGAAAACCTGCCTGATCAAGAATTGCACGCACGTTTTCTGACATAAAATCTACCCCTAAAACAGTTATGAATTTACATCCTGCTTTTGCCATGCTAACAGCACTGTCTGCCATAACCAATGAGTCTGATATATGAATGTGAGGCCAAAGCTTCTGTGCAGAAGTTAGAACACCTTGCACCTCTGGATCCATGTAAAAATGTGCAACAACACCAATTTGCTTTTCCTTCAGCAAATTGGCAAGCTCTTGAACCTTTGCATCATCAGGGAACAAAAATCTTGCCTGCAATTATACTACAATAAGGCTTGGGATTTTAAGAATTTAAGAAATTCAACAGAAGGACCTGATCTTGTAAAACTAAAACAGTGACAACTCAAAAGATAGGCAGAAATGTTAGTTATATCCCAATATGATCCACTCTAAGACAAACTTTTTCTATTAATATACAAACATCCCACGCCCCCAATCATCCTGTAAAGTCCAAAGTTGGTTTTCTTTTTATGATTAAATCTACCAACAAAGACAGACAAGATAAGTAAAAGTAATTAAGTACGAGTATCACATCAAGAAAAGACATAGAACCGAATCCCTTACCTGAGCCTCAGCAAAACTCCCTTTCGCGCCAATACCTTCCGCCGTGATCACCATAGACGGAAACGGCTCCCCAACAGACTTCCCTTCTCGCTGTGCCACAAGCGCCTTCGTCCTTTTCTGCATGCTAATCAACACATTATGCCAAGTATTCACCCTTGAATCAACCTTCCCTCCATGCAAACCGGCGACATTCAGATCCCCCAGATCTTCCGTCTTCAGTCCCAAAACTTCCTCCGGCGTAGCCCCATCAAGCACCGAAATCAAACACGAGCAGAAACCTTTGGTAATCTCCGAATCACTGTCAGCCAAAAACCTCATCTTTCCATCCGCATCCATCCTCACATCCAGCCACACCTGTGCCGTACATCCCATCACCCGATTCGCAGTAATTTTCACCGAGTCGTCAAACAGGGGCAAAACGTTTGCGTAGTGGAGGAGGCGCTTAACACGGTCAATTGGCTCGGATATGGAATTGAACTCGGATGCGAGGCTCTGAAGCTTGGCTATAGCGGAGAGGTGGTGGTCGGATGTGAGGGACGGGGTAATAGTAACGGCGGTACACGAAAACGTGGATCTAGTGTTTCCAGAAATACGAATCGTCGGAGAAGAAGAATTAAGATCGGACTTAACGGGTCTGAAGAAAGTGAAAGAGGAACGACATAGTCTCGGCGTAGGGTTAGGGTTTAGAACCGTATTATTGAAACAATAAGAAGAATTTGCCATGCCCACTGTTGCAGTATCCATCGCCGGAAAAACTTCCGGTTAAGCTCCCGCCGCTGTATATATAAAAATGGAAGGTGATGGATACGGTGGACAGAGCTCCAGAAATCTTCAACAAAAGACTGTACCAAAGAGACCATGATTTTATATCTAATTACCCGCGAAAAATGAGATTTTATTTTATTACGAAACAGACGTTTTAAAATGACACTCATTTTCAAAACCAAGGGGTGTTTGGTATTGCTTATGAAAATAACTTATTGATTTATTATGGTGTGGTACCGGTAATAAGCATATTTGAGTATTTGGATAAATAATTTATATCGATGCCAAATCGGTAATGAAAAGTTTTTGAAAAAGTTAAACTTTTCTGACTTATAATAAGTTGATAAGTGTTTTTGTATAAAAAGCATAACTTGTTTCAAATAAGCAATCCCAAACACCCTTAAAAAACAAAAAGTTCAGAAAAACCTAAATACTTTTATTTCGAATGATACAACCGTTTAATAGATCGTATACCGTATAAATATCAACTGGACAAGAGTTATTGACCTCACTTATCGGATAAAACATTTGATCATTTTCATCACTCTTACCGAATAAGATAAGTAACATGATAAACGCTTACTAAATAAACATTTGGTAAACAACCACTAAATTCTACTCATAAATAACAACCATTTATATTTAAAATAATTTTTAGATTCCATTTATGGTAATCTTTATATATATATATATATATATATATATATATATATATATGTGTGTGTGAGAAAAATTTTGGGGTATTGAGGTGGTACCATGAGAATTGAGTATTCTCAAATGATGAATTGTGGTTGAGTTTTAGTTGTCCCACATTGGTGAAGAATTGAAAGATTTGAACAAAGTAAAGTGTATAAGAAAGGTGGATTGGATGTCTTTGTGTCAAATAGTATGGTTTGCCTCATTGGATTGTCTTATTTTGGATGACACTCTTTAAAATCTATAACCATTATTGGAATCAAAACCAACCAAATGGGAAAAATTATAATGCAGATATAAAAGTGAAACCAAAGATGATGACTTGTCAACATGAGGTATGAGTGTTCCTCAAATAAACAATGAGGTTGACTTTCATCATCTCACATTGCTAGAAAGATGATAGTTTGGAAGAAGATGATGTATGTAACGTGAAGGAGCTTTGAAATCTATAACTATAGTTTAAATCAAAACCAAGCAATTGGTAAAAAAGATTGTGCAAAACAAAGGCAAATGATACATTTTTTTTTCTTTAACAAGAATTGTGATTATTGCAGTACTTACAATAACAAATTTAATTTAAGTATCTATTATACCACTTACATATACATAGAATTAAAGTGTTGATTTAATGACGTGCTTTAATCTGATGTTAGCATTCTCCGAATCATAATTTACGGTGTTGGACGGGAAGTTATAAATATAAAAACGATCTCAAGTTTTCAGACACATCGCACTTCCGCAAGGTCAGGGCTTTTACATTTTTTCTTAAATTGAGTTTTGATCACCGTACAACACGCAGTGTCGAACGCTTGTTTAAGGTAAAAGAAGAACCAACTCAAAATCTTTCATTTAAAACTCTTATCGAACATTTGATGTTCAACATACTACATAGAAATATTACATAAGACAGAGAAAAACTATGTAAATCAATATATATCCACTAACAGAAGAAAAGGTATATCGACGGTTGTAGTAGATACCTGAATGAAGGAGCAGATGAAATTGACCTAGGAGAGGAGATCGAGTAGCAATAAGCAGCAGATGTTAGAGGAGAACGAAGACCAATGAGTAGGAGACGGATGTCGAGATAGTTTGAAGGGGGAAACTCGAATAAGGCTTTGTCCTGGAATCCCGAGGCTTTAACGGGTTTTTTTCTTCTTTGCCAAACAACAATTTCTTTCTAAAACAGATAACCCCCCCATGTTCCGAACATTTTTTTTGAATAAAATAAATTATTTGAAATCTAGATATTAACTACGTATATCATTTTAACTCAATAAACTGTTTTTAGCCGATTAGAAATGTTTTAAAGTAAAATAAAAAACCTAAATAAGTTTTTTCGTTCCTAAATTCTACGTTATTCAAACCCTTCGTAGCCAATGCCATTGTGCCCTTTTGATGCCCCATCGTTCCCCATAGTTGTATGCTTCTCTTGCAAATCGGATCATTCCCTATAGTATACAAAAAAAACTCCATACTGAGACTTGTGTTTTTGGTAAAAAGTCTCCCTGGTCTGGTCACTGTCACTGGCTCACTGCCCGTCACTATTGTTGGCTCTAACCTCGATCACCCCTTTTTTTGATCGTTTTTTTTTTATTCTCCCTTTTTATCTGTCTATACATACTACATTAAAGGCTCGTTTACTAAACGCTTAGCCGGTAAGCGCTTATCAGGTCTCTTTACCTTACCAAATGAGTATGGCAATTGGCAATGACCAAGAATCTTATACAGGAACAGCGATGACAAGATAGTAAGAGGCTGTTTATCAAACACTTACCCGGGTAAGTGTTTATCAAGTCATGTTACCTCACCAGATGAATATGGTAAGAACCAAAAATCTTACCCGGTAAAAGCGACACAAGGACCATAAATCTTACCCGGTAAGTGAGGGCGACGACTCTTACCACGGTAAGCGCTTACAGGGTAAATTGTTGCATATGATGTCGTTTTGATTGACTAAAATCTTACCCGGTATATAAATAATAGTGTTAAATTTTACGGGTAAGTGTTTGGTAAACGACCCCTAAGTAAGGATGACGACTCTTACCTGATTAGTATTTACTAGATAAATTACTGCATACAATGTCGGTTAATTGAATTAAAATCTTACCTGATAAGGTAATTGACGTTGTTAACTTTCGTCAATGAACATTTACATGGTAAGTGTTTGGGGTAAACTTCCTCTAAATTTAGTGGTTGTTTACCAAAAACTTACCCGGTAAACATTTACCGCTAAAATTCAACATTATCACTTACTTACCGAGTAAGATTTTAGTCAATAAAAACTGCATCGTATGCAACAATTTATCCGATAAGCACGCTTGGTCCTTGTCTCATTTTTATCAGGGAAGATTATTGATCCTTACCATATTCATATTTCATCCAGTAAGCTAATATAACTTGGTAAATAATTTACCCGATTAAATGTTTGGTAATCAGTCCAATGTGGTTTATAAAGTATAAAAAAGAAAGTCTTTAATAATTATAAATACAATGACTTGTGCTTTCATTTGTAATTATTAAATTTAAAATAAAAAAAGAAAATTTTTGATTGGTAGGTTTAGAACCATTGCTTTTTGGGTAGGGACCGAGGAAGGCGTCTCCAGCCGCACCCAACCAGCGCTTCGAAGGGGCGGCGGATCTCATTCCATCTGCCTTTTGACTCGTATCCACAACTGCCCCCACCACTTTACTTTTTTGTTTTTTGTGGACAATTTTCAAAATTCTATTTCCATATTCGTTAAAATTCATGTTTGTCAACGTATAAAAATGTTATACTATTTAAAAGAGAAAATCATTAAAATGATCAAAATATACATGATATATTAACGAAATAACCACTTTTCATCAAAATTGTCAAACTGTCCACACGAATCGCCCCCGGGAAGAAAGTCTAAAAAATATATTAAAAAAATTATTTTGGTGGGTCTCATATGCATTCCTTTAGTGTACAAGTCTCGATTGTAGGTCCCACATGATGCATGTGGGATCCACCAAAAATGATTTTTATATTATTTTTTGTACTTTATTTGTTAAATTAAGGGGGATCGCCCCCCATGGTCAAGGATCTCCCCCGGGGGAGTGATCCTTGTGGACGCTTTGGCAATTTTGGTGAAAAGTGGTTATTTCGTTAATATATCGGGTATATTTTGGTCATTTTGGTGATTTTCCCTATTTAAAATAACGTTAAGGGTTTTTAATATAGGATTGGATTTCGGTGAGAAATAAAGTTATGTTGACAAGTGTAATTCATCTTTTGATCAATCATAATTGAATATCAACACTAATAAGGTGCACTGAGATACACCGAATCAATTCTCTTCTAAAGCACAATTCATGAGTGAACATGAGATTAAAAGTGATCAATGGTTCAGATAGCTTCTTAAGCTTCTCATCATGAGGTTCTTTCTCATACGATCTTTTGCCTTTTAATATATTGGTTGGTTTGTAGTTATGAATTACTAAAATGGATGTGAATACGAACGAGAGAAAACGTTTGGATTTGCAGAAGAAAACAAAAGGAGGAAATTAGGAAAAAGCAAGAGAACGACAAAAGAACAGGTATAAAATGTCTTTTCGATTCATGAAAAAATAATGTCCAATTTGAATATTAAGATAGCGTAGAGACAGGAATGGAATGAGGATGTGACGGGTTTTGGTCTCAAACCTTGTCCTCATCGTTGTTGGAGATGGGGAATCGAATTCCTTCCATGACACAAAAAAACGCTTTTAATTATGTTGGTAATATGTGGTATTATAATTCGAATGGGAAACAAGCATATTTGATTTAATATACAAGTAGTTGAATCAGTAAATCAAAGGATTTAAAATTTTAATTCTGAAAATGATGAAATAACTGTATATACCATTTATGTCTCATAAACAAGTTGATTCATTAAATCATGGCTTCTTAAAATATTAAAGGTCCAAAATGAGCCTCCCTCTCTCTATAATATATATATATATATATATATATATATATAGTTTGTTTCAAATATAACTTATCGCATTTGTACAACCAATACAACCTAATAAATTGAGATATTTATAAAAATGATGAGAGTTCATTTATTATGATTTGAATATTTATGCAAGATAAATATAGTTCATTAATTATGATCAATACTTTATATTGGGAAACAATCAAAACTTCTATGAAATCACATATTAATCAAATGAAATGGACGGTTGAGATTGAGTTATATTGGTTGCACAAATGCCAAAGGTTGTATAATAACCAACCTATATATATATATATATATATATATATATATATAGGGGAACGATCAAATGCAAACCACTCAATTTGTATAAACCGTGCAAACTTCATTCAACCAATCATAATTTTTCATTTTATTCATTTTTTTGTAATTATGAGAGGTTGATTAATCATTTTTATTGTGGAGGGTGAATCATAGATATTATCATCTTCATTATTTTAATTTTAGAGAAA